CCACCTTTTACAAAAAGTTAAGATGACTAGTCATCTGCCTCTTGTTAGAATTACAACAGATCATGGTTATGAGTTTGATAATTCTCAGTTTCTGAAATTCTATGAGGAGATAGGAATTAAGCATGAGTTCTCTGCATCTACTACACCTCAGCAAAATGTTGTTGTGGAGAGAAAAAAAAATAGAGTTCTTGTTGAGATGGCTAGGGTGATGCTCTACAACAAAAATTTTGCTAAACATTTGTGGGCTGAAGCTGTAAATATAGCTTGTTACATCTTAAACAGGTGTTTTTGTGGTCTTTTATCTCCTATGCTTGAGGGAGAATCTCCAAGTATGGATCTAGTGGTTGACCTGTCAACGTTTAGCAAACCGATTGCCCTGTCAACTTTTGACAATTCTGTTCCAGTTGACCTGTCAACTTGTCATAATCCCTCATAATCTTAGCTCATTTGTCCCTGTTGAAAACTCTCTATGGAAGCATGATAGGAAGCCTTCTCTACTTGATTGCAAGTAGACTTGTCATTTCTTATAGTGTAGGAGTTTGTCCTAGGTTCCAAAGTGATTCCAAAGAGTCTTATTTGTTTGCTGTCAAAAGAATCATAAAATATGTGAGTAGAACTTTTGAGTTTGGGTTGCGGTATACCTATGACACTTGTGTCAATCTTGTTGGGTATAGTGATGCCAATTGGGCAGGTTGTAGTGATGGTAGGAAAAGCACTTCTGGGGGGGTCTTTTATGAAGGCAACAACCTAGTTGCTTGGCATAGCAAAAAATAGAAATCTATCTCTTTATCCACTGCTGAAGTAGAGTATGTTGTAGCTGGGAGTTGATGCACTCAACTCCTTTGGATGAGACAAATGTTGGAAGACTATCATGCTTTCTAATCTATTGTGACAACATGAGTGGTAAAAATCCTGTTCAACACTCTATGACTAAGCATATAGACATTAGGCACCATTTTATTAGAGATCTTGTGGAAGACAAAATTCTATCTTTGGAATTTGTTCCCTCTGAGAAACAGCTAGCAGATATACTCACCAAGGCCTTGGACTTTCAGAAACATGTCACACTTAGGCAGTCCATTGGCCTTTGCTCAATTGATTGATTAGCTTGTCTGTTCCTTATCTTCAGCACGTTGCAGAATTGTTGACTAGTCATCTTCGTTTTAGTTGACTAGTCAAATATAAATTTTTATTTACTTGGTGTGCAAATGTCAAAAACATCTGTTTCTTCTTATCTCTGATGGTGTGAAGTTCGAATCATTTTATGTTTTGCCTGATTTGTGCATAATTCCCCCCTTCTAGTTTGGAGCCATTAGATGAAATTTTTTTGGTGTTTTTTCGTCCTCTTGGTGAGACAAGTGTTGTGATATTACATTGTGGACAATCATTGTTATAATCTAATATCTTATCTCACTCTCTTAGGCAATTTGTTTAAATTTTTTTTAAAAAAAAAAAAGAAAAAAAAAGGGAAGTGTGACCAATGTAGTCAGGACTCTAGGAATGTATAAGGTGATATGATTGAAGAATCTAGAGCAAGAGCCGCAAAATTGGGCCACTCAAGCACTTAAGTCTGGGATGTGCAAATAAGAAACATAATAAATGGCCAGATTGAGTGATGAAATTCAAATAGGTTGAGTCTATGCTTTGAGTTTGTCTTGAAGGTTCATTATATA